GTCGGAGCCAAAGTGGGGAGGACGGGCGGGAGAGGACTGTTTGGGTAGGTATTCTCTTGTAGACCCGACCCACACTTAATGTGGGGGAGGAGTCTACTGCGCTCTACCTACCCCAACAGTCACTACATATGCTGAGTAGCACCAATCTAGGAGGGGGGGTAGCTACGACATGAAATAATAGTAAGTAGCATGAGCATAAAAATATGCACACTTACATGTACTTATGGTAGTATCAAATTTACGCATTGGAAGGTAAATAAAGATCGAACTCACCAGAGAGGTACATGTATATTCAGGTAGACTGTCCCCTTGTTCAGCCTGAAGACAGTTCCTTTGACCTCTGCACTGCTGACAGTCGGACCACCTTGCCATGTGCTGAGTCGCTCTGCAAGACGTCCCTTAGATAGCAGGAGGTGAATGTAGAGGGAGTTTTCCAGCATGCAGCCTTACAGATGTCTGCAATGGAAATCCCAGAGAAGTAAAACCAAGAAGTAGACACAGCTCTAACATCATGTGCTCTGATAAACTGTTGACTCTGGTTATTGGAGTGCGTTGGCCAGTCTGGATTGGCAAATTTAATAGCTGAAACTACCCAGCAGGCTATTGTGTCTCTCGCCGCTGGTCAGTGTGGATTGGTAGAAGTAATAAAAAGTTGGGAAAGTGTACCTCTCAGATTCTTGGTCTTTGACAGATACCACTTCAGTGTACGAATCGGACACAAGAGATTGTCTCCCGTATGTGTAGCGATAATTGGGACAAAAATGTCTGGTGGCTCAAAGGAAGAAGACTGGTTTTTGGTTAAGAAGCCGATAGATGGAATAAGGCGTACGCCGTGTGGTTCCCAACGTAGGTGTCCCTCAGCAACTGAAGGGCTTGCAGTTCGAAGCCCCTCCTGGAAGTGGTCACGGCTAGTAGAAAGGCTAATTTAACACTGGCATGTAGTAGGGTGGCATTACTTAAAGGTTTGAAGGACGCACCTGTGAGCATCCTTAGAACTTTGCCCATGACATGACATCTTCCTCGTGCGGCCATGGCCGCAGCATAGTGAGAAAGTCCTGCGGAGAGGAAGGATTGTTGAGTGTCCAGCAAGTTAAGTGAAGACTTTCTGGTGCTGGATGAAGAAGTCCTGACTTCGGCTGTCGAAGGATGTCTGGCCTTGCCGGAAGGATGAAGGGCTGGTGAACCAGGAGCCTGGTCAACCTGGGAAACCAAGGCTGACGTGGCCAGAAAGGGACAATGAGTAGAATCTGACAATGTTCGTGTTCTATCCTGGGTATGACCCATGGAATAAGAGAGATGGGAGGAAAGGCGTACGCCAGTGGGCCGGTCCAATCGACCTGTAAGGCATCTGTGGCCCATGCTCGCAGGTGAGGTGTTCTGGTGCAAAACACCAGGAGTTGAGCATTGTCTGCTGATGCAAAGAGATCGACGTGTGGTCTGTTGAAATGAACCCCACTCCCAACTGGTCGGGTTGAACATGAACAATAGCCCGTTTCTGAAGGAGGAAATTTATCTCTGACTCCAGCGCCACACATTGGTCCCTGTTGTGGGGAACAGGAGTCGGACATAGTATCGCCTCAGACGGTGAGGTGCTTGTAAACTTGCGAGAATTGAGAGGACCCAGCTCTCCGAGGTGATGTTTTTCCAGAACCCCGTGAACAGTTGAAGGCAGCCGCTGACAGGTTTGGAAACGGCGGTCACCAAAGGCAAAACGGAACAGTCATCTGTGACGTCCCCCAAACAAACGGGGAGCACGCGATGAATTCTCACGGTGCTGGAAGGTTTGACTCGCCTTGGGAATGACGCGGGATGAGGCCCGGCTTTGGCTTAATCGTTAAAGAGGCCGGCGAAAAGGGCGATGCATCGAAAAAGTCTGGTTTGAAGTGGGCCCGACTTGGCTGGCATTACGTTGCTGAGTTCGCTGCAGAGTGAAAGACCGTGACTCGCAGCAGGATATTTTCTTTGCCGCATCGATCCGCTTAGCCTCCGCCTCCAGCATGTCGGCAAACTTGCTGGCAAAGACATCTTCTCTGAACAACTGCAATTGCTGAAGGCGAGATTTAACTCCCTCGTAGGGAATGTGCATCGCATCAAGGGCGTTGGATATTGCCAGGCAGGATATTCAAGCAAGTCCTTTGTCAAGGCCACGAAGTGCTAGGGCTGCAAAATCTGGAGAGACAGGGGAAGTTTCTTCACAAGCACAGGCGATGTATTCCGACAAAATGAGAAGAAAGGCCATGCAGCGGAGCCCGAAACGGGAAGCTTTGTCAAGCTTTGTGAGCGTGGATTCCAGCAGGGACTTGTCTTTATTTTGGTATGTCGCCTTAGCAGACGCTGAAGTTTTCCCGAATCAGCAGAGATTTTGTCTTTGGCTTCGTCGGCAAGGTCTGGAACTGACAAGAAATTCTTGAAATCCTCCGGCGGGAAATGATAAAATGCTGTCGCTCGGTTAGGAAGGGCACGTCATTGCTCTGACTTAGTAAGGGACTTGAAGATTTCTACACATGAGCAGTCAAGTGGGAGTGCAGGAAAAATAGGTCCCGTAGACTCCATTCAAGCTGCATGGCGTTTGAACGAGTCCTCTTTGGGCAGAGTGGCTGATGGCAGGCGAGCACTTGAATCATGTCCTGCTGAAGGAGCTGGAGGCGGCCCTCAGACTGCGTGAGGGCGTTGACGGAGCCAGCTTCATCCTCGTCCGAAGAAAATGCTGGTTGTGCAGTCGGAGATAGAGCCGTACCTTGCTCTGAGGCGTGGGTGCCCTTGTGGGGGGCGGCCCACTCTGACGGCTCGGAAATGCCCTACTGTTGCGAGTCCGGTGTAGAACCCCGTCCCGTGTCATATTGACTTGCAGCCGAAGGAGGTGGAAGGGTCTGGTCTGCCAGGAACGGGTCCGGAGCAGTGAAGGCCGGTGGTGGTCTGTTGTCTAGATGACGAACGATAGAAGTCAGGGCTTCATTAATGGATAGAAAGGCCGACATCTACTGCTCAGAATTAGACCCCTGATCGGAGCGATGTCTCTTCTTAGATTTCAAAGAACTCGATGAAGAGGGGGAGCGTTTGCGTTTCCCGGTGGCGGGTGACCCGACAACGGAGACAGTAAACGGAGCCATGAGCAGCAGAACACCTGGGGAGCATTTCTGGTCGAGGTCAGCGGGAACTGTAGAGTTCAGGGCGGAAGGACTAGGAGAGATAAGGTCCGATGACCCGGTGATGCCCAGTTGACAGCCCGAACCTCAAATGGGCTTCGTTGGTTTGAAGCCCCATCGGTGTAAAAGCCCAAGAGGCTACGGGGTATCGTGGCTCGGTGGTGCACCAGGCGGGGTGGGTCCCGGCACTTGTGGGTGGCCCGACCCGGTGGCTTCGATACCTGTGCCGGAAGGAGTATGCCCAGAAACCGCTGGAGAAGTAGTCTTCTTGGCTGATGTTGACCAGCGGGTGTTCTTCGGGGGAGTGCTGGCTGGAGCCCCGCATGGGTTCCTCTGGGTCATGGCAGTCGGAGGGCGTGGTGTGCGATGATAAGGCGGACCCGAAAGATGTTTGCTTGGGGTAATCCCTCGGGGGTCCAGGCAGGCTCACCAGGCCAGCAAGTGACCAAAGAGAAAGGGTCCTTGCCAGATCCTGGCAGTGTCCCTGCTCGGGTCTCCCACAGTCAACCACTGAGCTTCCTCGTCAGCTCCGTGGGGCCGAACGAACCAAGGGCCTGGCCAGATCCTGGCTGGAACCCCCTGGCCGACAGCAAGCCTTTTCCTCATCTTAGTAGCCGGAGAAGACAGGGGAGTATGACAGATCCTGACAGGGACCCCCTCAAATCAACCGGCCTAGGATTAACGTAAGGTAGACATGGGCGAAGCTGAGTAGAACCTAGTAGTACCGACAGTAAACACCTGCAGGGTGCACATAAGAAAAACAGAAGAAAAACACAAAATATATACAAGAGAAAATACTCTTACCAACAAACAGGTAAAAATTCAATGTAATACTTTATTCAAAGAGGTGATCAAATAGACACAAAACCATGTAGCGAATACTGAAGCTCGAAAATCGAAGATGCCTCAAAAGACACGTCCCTTATGTTACGGCACTGAGAAAAGGATGATCACGGCGGCGAAGCCACATTGCATTGTGGGAGGTCGGGGTACACTACGTGTGATCAAATCCTTTCAGTGAACAATAATAGGTGCCTGGGAAATTTGCATATGTAGTGACTGTTTGCTTAGGTAGAGCGCAGTAGACTGTTACATTCTCAAATGTGGAATATTAAACTGTTTGTCCTGTTAAACAAAATTTGTTCATTTTTTTCTGCCAAAAGGAAATACATTTTTTTTAAACAAACACTGAACACTGCCAGGCTCCCTAAAACATAAGCAAGCTCTTTACATAAGCCTATTGACAATGCGTATTACAAGCAACCAAAAACCAGTTAACCTCCATATTTTCAAAATAAATGACGGTGATCCTCTTTTTCCAAGTTGATTTTGTTATTAGTGTTTCTTGTAGTTTTACTCTGACACTGTGTTGATTTTTGTTTTACAACACCACTTTTTGGTTAAAGTAGAGAATAAAACCCACTGTTAGCATGACAGATCAGCACTAATACACAAGAATTTGGAAGTACCTTCCAATCTTAACTACAATCCTGGACAAAACAATTACAACACCTTGTGGGAAGCGTGGTGAAAAGATCCCCCCTCTCCCCCATTCAATGTTGCAGTTATTTATTGGACCAAGATTAAGCCCAACTAACCCAATGAGAAACAACATTGACAGGGGGTGAGGAGGGAGGCATGTTCCAATGAGATTTGTCCAGGATTGTCTCTAAAAAGTCTGCCTTATCCTAATAGGAACTGCGTACATCCGGCTCTTAAAAAATGCTGCACATGCATGCACAATAACAACTGCAATGGTAGACCACCTCAACTGAAAAAAGGAGAGTCACTCACATCCTTCTTCTTTTTTTCAGGGTTAACTGTGCAATGTTTCAACTGAAACCCAACCAGAAAGTGAAAAGAACTCAGACAGAATTGTGTACTTCTCATGTAACCATATATTCCTTCAGACCAAATAAAAAAATTCATTTGAGAGAGATATGTGCTAAAATTGTAAGGTGCACTGTTGACGATGCGCCCAACTTATCCCATTTACAACTGCCAACTTGCCTCTTGTTGCTGATACCTACGGGCAGCAATCCCATCCACGCAAATTTACTAAGGACCCTTCCACTGAAAAAATCCTGTACCGATGGGTGATCGTAACCCATAGTTGTTATATCACTAAATATTAAATAACTGAGGCACAGTGCTACATTAGTGACTGATTTAATTCTTCAGATTTTGCCATATAAGCTGCCCAAAGTATAAGCCAAAGGGACATTTTCAGCGTGAGAATCAACATACAAACTGTGGCTTATATTCCAAAAATTACGGTGTATTAAAAATATATATATATCTATTTAAAAGAACAAAAGAAACCACCACCACCAAGTTGAAGTCAGATATGAGTTGGGAGGGGGTGTTCAAACCCCCTCCTAGCCCATGGGCCTGCAACTACAAAAAAATAAAACTCCTCCCCCACTTTGGGCTGATGGGTGTCCAAGTCAGAGAGAGTAATACTACTACTGTAGCCCTGCTTTTTGGCAGGGCTACAGCTCGCACACATTTCCGAGGAAAACGAAAGGTCTAGATTGGCTGGTTGCAGTCTCTGGTGAGCAAATGAAATACAACACATTAATATTGCCCCCTCCCCCCAAAAAAATTCAAACCATAAAAAGGATTTGCAAACAAGGCTTCAGAAATTGAGCTTGAAGACTCTTTCCATCAATGGACGCCAAATATTTGTGAATCAACAGTTATTTCCGTGAAGGAAAGGACTCCCCAGACTAGTAGTTTTTAAAGAAAAGCACAACGTTCACGAAGAATTATTTGCGTTAAATTCTTCACATATAGTGAAAATATTTTTTATCAGTAAGGTTTCAGGCAAGAGTGCTGCCGCTGGTACTCGGCTCCACCGGAGGCCAGGTCCACACCGGAACCAGCACACACAAACCCAATAGTAAAGACAGTCTGAGACGGCCAACAGGCCGGCCAATAGAGGGACGCAACACAGGCACGGTTAAGGAGGCCGATCTGGGCGTGATGGTGTGATACAATTCAAGATGGCGCCAGTACGTAAATTAAAGTATAGATGTTGGTGGGTGCTCTTCAAACAATGCTCATGTAAGCTACACGAGTTTCCATTTTGACGCTGGAAGGTGGCCATATTTTGCAACATTTAGTCTGGCAAATGTTACCTGAATTGGGTAAGTTAACCTGTAAAAGTTCATTCCTAGTGTTGTATTTAGATAAGATAAAAAGATATTCTCACCTGGATTTGTCCTCCAAAGAATAATTTTTTATTCTCCTAAAATTGTCTCACATGGCCAGGAGTATTTTTGTCACATGTACTGGTATTTATGTACTGATTACTGTTGTACATGTAATTCTCCTTTGTGTTTCAGCATAAAGAAATAAACTTCAGAACTTTATTAGCCAAGAGTATCTGTGGAATCACATTCAACGATCAGATTAAACCTAACTACTGTACGTGTAGCTACCCAGTCCTGCACATTTAATTAATACATTCCTATGATGTAACCAAACACTGAAATGCTCTCAGTGTTTTGAAATTCAATAAAATTACACTTCACAAACATTAAAATGCCCTAAACGGGTTCCGTGTAATAACCTTTTTGAAAATTTAACCACTTCCCGCCGGGGATTCCGAATCTGGACACGTATGCTTTATATGTGTGGCCGGGGTCTCCGAACTTGGACAAAGGGAACAGGGCCTTGTAACAAAAGGCCGTTCTAGGAACAAAAGACCAGGCTGCTGGGCATTACCGACATTTTTTCACTCTCAAAAGTGGAGATAATCCAGCCTTGTTTTGAAACATTATACCAAGGTTTGGGGCATTTAGAGGAAGTGGATTACCACCGGGGACAAAAGCACTCCACCACCGCAGCGATGAGCCACACAGCACCACTGCATGCTAATCTGGCCCCTATTGAAAAGAGGTCAGCAGTGCACTGAGCCAGGTTCGTGAACAAAAGAAAGTTAGATAACACCGCACAATCTGGGCTCTTTTTACAAGGCTGCAGGCCTGGCTGAAATACTCCAGTGTCAATAGATTTTGTCTGTCAGGCTAGAGTGGAGACCAGACAGTTCTTCGTGTGGGTATAAGTGTGCAGTAAATGAAGATAGGAATTTTTGAAGAATTTTGAAAACAGAAAAAAAATTATACTTATCCTGTCCCAGCGTCATCAACATTGATAACTGCGCCAGCAGGAAGTGGTTAAAGACAGACATCAGAACCTCAAAAGAACCCTTATTGCTTTGATGTATTTTGACAAGATTACCTTTTTTACACTTATTGTGCAACATTAAACTGTGAGAGTGTCCTACCTTAATAGTTTTCTCCAGTTCATCAGCTTTCCAAGTGTCCTCTCTGCTTTTCTAAAACATGAGTGAAGAAAATAATGTCAAGTGCAGGAAGTATTTGCTTGAAACTTGTAACCATTTTTATTTTCAACAATTCTGTCTTTTGTAATAATTTCTTTACCAACAGTTACAGCAATCAGCAATGTTGTAGATGGATTGCATTTTTTCCAGGAAACTTTGGGATTAAGATTTCCATTATTGCCCCCCCCCAAAACAAAGAAGCAGGGGGAGTCAGAATCCTCCTATCACATTGATATTTGCCCCTCATATCATTGCAGTGGTTTTTTCACACACTGAGCCTTCATTAACATTTCCAGTGACTTCTACTGATCGCTTTCACACCAATTTTTGAAAATCAAAAGTACATGTACCATTCTCTTGCAGCACCTGTTTTTCCGGGACAGGTCAGCCAGAGACTTATACTTTTCCAATGATATGCTCAATGCACTTAGGATGACACAAATGAGTCCTTGAACTTCTGATGGCCATAACAAAGTCATTTGTCAGTTGGAGTTGAAACTTTGCAGTGTGTAAGTTTCATGAAATCACTCTTAATTTGCTGTCAAACATACACAATAAAATGTGGCATGATCCAGTCAGACTTTGACAAAGCCCATGCTCAAGCCAAGGTATTAAATTTGTTTTGTATGCTTAAATGTGAGAATGTAATGTACTGGTATGACTACTATCACAAACCAAAAACAAGGAAAAGAACATGTTTTAAAAACAAAAACAAAAAAATCCGAAGTAAATGAGCATGTACTATGAAGGCAACAGCTACAAAACTTCATTGTTTTGCCGACCCATAACAACTACATCCTCTAACATGGGGCAGCTTTATCCTTTTTTCACCAGCACTTCAGGGATTTTATTTAACTTAAACTACACATTTGTTCCTGTTGAGTTGAGTGTCCATTTTAAAAGTTAATACGGTAAACTCATACTAAATCGACATCGTGTAACCCGTCATATCGTCCAAGTCGGCCATTTGACAAAAGTCCCGATTATCTTTAATGCATTTCCATTGAAATTTTCATTTCTAAGACGACATTTATAAGTCGTCATCTCGTATATGTCGGCATGTTTTCTACGTCCCTTTTCCTCAATACCACAAAAATTCCTTTGTGTACTGGTAAGTCGGCATTAAAAAAAACTGTGTTTCGGTATTGGTTTCCTTCGCCAAGGTTGCCAAAAAGTGTCGGGACAAGTCCCGAGCATTCGTGGCCAACATGAATAACCCCTCTAGTGCTACACACATATGCTCTGTCCATTTCGGGGGTCGCCTTATGGGTGCAGTGTCCCAATTGAAGGAAAATTCTCCGCCCAGAGATTGTTTCGAAATGAGGGGTCTGTTTGGGCCAAGAAATGGTGGGATTG